AGCAGCCGATAGCGCTCGTTGGGCTGGATGGCGACTTGGCAGCCGTCCTTGCCAGTGTACTGGAAAGGGTGCTCCACCAGCACATACACATCCCCCTCGACGTCCGCCGCCATCGCGGCCGCGGCCTTTCCCTGTGGACAGCAAGGAGGAGGGGCGCGGAGGTCAGAGCCACGGAGATGCGAGGCAACCGCACTAGTGCTATTCCTCGTGTGCGCTCTGGCCTCAGTTTTCCTATCTCTAAAATGGGAGACTCGCCGAAACCGGTTTGGCTCGGTGGATAGAGCGTCGGCCTGCGGACTGAAAGGTCCCAGGTTCGATTCCGGTCAAGGGCATGTACCTGAGTTGGGGGCATATCCCCAGTAGGGGATGTGCAGGAGACAGCTGATCGATGTTTCTAACTATCTCTCTCCCTTCCTCTCTGTAAAAAATCAATAAAATATATTTTAAAAAAATAAATAAAATGGGAGACTTGTATAATATAATCTCTTAAATTCTCATTCTTACACCTAGGGATGGGATGACGGCAACCCTTTCATCCAATCCCTTGGTGGAGGATTGTGGGTAATACTGGTTCAACTTTACAGCCAGGAAAGCCTTGGTTCAAAGAGACAAGGCAAAACAAACAAACCACACACACACACACACACAATACCTAGAGGCCAAGGAGGTACTCCCTGGGGCCAGAAGCAAGGAAACACCATCATTTTTCACCCCCCTTGGGCGCACATAAACTAATAACTAAACTTCTGTGGCACACCAAAATCTGGAAAAAAGTGTAATTTTCATTTATTCACAACGGACGGCTATTCTGTTAGCTGTTGTCTTTTTTTTTTTTATTTGACAACCCAAGGGAGAAGAGGCGGGTGTCTTCGACTAGGCAGATGTTGCATGTTTTAAAAAATTCTTCTGGCACCTCAGTGTGCTGCTGCACACGGGTTGAAAATTGCTGACATGGGGTGGTTGCCCGAGATCAAGTCGACACCACAATTTGCCTAACAGTTGAGTGGGCCTCAGTTTCCCCTTCTGTGAAGTGGGAAGAAGAACCCATTCCCTACTTCCCGCCCCACCTGGCCGCCTCCGGCGCTGAAAGAATGCGAGTCCACGGCGCCCCTTCCTGGCCCCGGGCCGCGCAACCACGGAGTGTCCCTGCTTCACTTAGTTCAGGAGCCCTGGCACGAGGGGCCGGACTCCCGAGGCCGGGAAACCGGTTCTCTCGGTTTTTCTTTTCTTCCCCAGCGGCTTTGCCGCAGACGTGAGCCCGGAGCCTGGCCCGCCCAAACCGGCCCTCGCCGCCTCTGCTCTCCGGCTCCCCCTCCCGCCCCGAGAAGGGGTGGGCCCGGGGGCCGCTCTACCTGCCCCGGGATCTCTGCGTCGCCGCCTGACAGTGGCCGCGAGAGAATGCGCCTTGTCTCCGGGGGTCCCGGGGCGAGCGCACAGCCCCCGCCGCTCCGTGCCGCTCGGCCTGGCTTCAGAGCCTAACCCCGCGTCTGCCTGCGCCCCTCCATCACAGCCCGAGTCGGCGGCCTCCTTCGGAGGTGGCTGCTTCCTCCCAGCCTTGACACTGACCACAGCTCCTGCCCCACAAGGTGGCCGGGGACCCGCCGTGGGAGCTCGGCTGCTCGCGGAGGCGGAGGGACCGGGGACGGGGTCCCGCGGAGGGAGGGGCGCGTAACGCTCCTTCTTGACCGTGTCAAGCTTTCCTCGATGGGGAAACTGAGTCACTCAGTACTCTGGGCCTGGGAGGCGGGATCCGCGCGCTGCCGGGAGCTAAGCCGACA